TTCCACTTTTTTTAGTATCTTTTGGGGATGTAGGGTACATCTAAGGCTAATAACAGGACATACATATACAATAAAATTAAGGAAGCACATATTAATTGAGGCTTTTTTTCTTTTCCTTGGAAAATAAATATATTTCGAGTACATGATACTATACATAAGTTAATTCAGGTGTAAGTTGTGCTTTCAGAGTTTGGTTGTCTGCTGCAGTTACTGTATTTGTGTTTATCCTAAAACTGTGTCAATTAGAAGATCTTTTTTGTTATGCAATTTGAATCTGTCTTTTACAGTCTGGTTTTCTGTATTGACCCTTATAATTAACCGGGGTAAAAGACATCTCGTGTAAAGGGATAGCATCTTTCCTGTTGGTAAGATAGGAATTGAATCTGCCCTTCGTAAAAGAAGATAGGAAAATTCCCAAGAGCATGAAGCTATTTGCTGAGTGTAATTGGTTCACTGTGCCTTTTAAGAATGAATGCAGTTCGTCTCATGCTCTATTAAATGATGGTGTATTAAACAATGCTTTTACATTCATTTGGGAGTTGCACTACAAGAAATTATCTAAAGAATGCTCTGTAAACTTTGTTTTCAACGATCACCCTTTGAATAATGGACCATTCAACCCCAGGGGATCGTCAGCCAGTATCCATTGATATTCGATGAATTGACCTGCAAAGTAATATTAAGAAAAGGAAAGGAAAAAATACAGTTAGCTTAAGTTAAGTTAGCTTAGGACATGCAGCTTTGTTCTACATTAAGTTGCTAATTAAGCAATTTCACCAGATAGTCTAATCATACTCTTGATGTTCTTTTCCACTTGAATAATATTTTTTTATTATTATAAACTACATAGATCTAAATAAAGAGAATGTTTTAATTGAAATTGCTAAATTAGAAAATATCTATAATTTTCTTCTGCTCTAAAAAATAGCGGTCATGAAATATACAATTTTAATAGCTAATCATTATTCTGCATTTTAGATATGTGCAGAATTTTAAAGTATACCATCGATATTTTGGTATATTTTCAGTAAATATGAGAGTGAGGTTTCTTTTGAGAATAATTAATGTATAACCTCTACACTGTATAAACACATCTATAATTAAAAAACCTACAGTATGTATCTGTGCAACTGGCAACATATATGTATATACAGTATATGAGTACATACTATAGAGAAATCATCTTAAACACCTTAAAGTTCCTGCTACCCAGTGTAGTTTCCTGCAACTCATAATCATATATTAAACCTATACAGTGTATATTTTTACTACTAGTGTGCATCATTTTACAATTATCAATGATACGTTTAAAGTTACTAGTGTCCTTTGATGTTATTGCCACTATTTTTTTTTTATAATTTGAAAATACAAACACAGTTAGTATATTAGAATCTAAATAATGGATAGGGATCAGGAAGAAAATGGGCCTAAAACATATCCTTTCTCCATACCACTGTTTACATGACACACTGTTCCCTGTTCACTAATCAGTTCTGTATCCATTTATATGCGTGGGTTTGGATACTTATAGGATTTGTTTTGAGAATCAGTCTTTATGAGAGACCTTATCAAAAGTTTTTTGTAAAGTTAAATATGTATAATCTCCATTAAGAGTTTTCTTATGTTTTAATCAAAGTATTCTTGTATAGAGACAGAGAGAGATCACTTTATTAGCCATATACAATTTCTTGCATTAGGAATTAATCTTTTCGCATACTCCAGCTTTCTCTCCATGAGACACACATAAAGAGAGAGAAGCTTGGGGTTAGAGCGCAGGGTCTGCCATTGTACAGTGCTCCTTGAGCAGCTGGGGTTAAGGGCCTTGCTCAGGGGCACAACAGAGTGGGATTCCTCTGCCGGCCACAGGATACAAACCGGCAAACTTCCAGCCACAGGCACAGATCCTTTGCCACAGTGCCACTGCTCCACTCTAAAACTGTATGTTAGTTAAGCAAGAATCTAATCTTTCTAAAGCTATGTTGCCTATCATGTAAATTTCATTTGTGTTCTAAGTATTCTTCTAATTTCTATAATTTGGGCAGTAGCAGAAGTAAAACTGATAAGTCTATAGTTTCCTAGTTCAAATCTCTGCCTCTGTTTATAATGTTTGTGTCTGCATTTCTCCAGTCTGTGGGTACTGTTCTAATTGAGAGATGAAATATCCTAGCTGGAAGTCTATAAATAATATCCCTCATTTCCTTAAGTATGACTGGGAAAATACCAAAAGGCCCTATGATTTATTAGGTTTAAGAAAGCCTGTCAGTTATGCTAAAATTACAAATACTGAAGGAGCTTTTTCTTTAACATAGGGCAGGTTATTTTTGCATTCTATCTTACAAACATATAAAGTATTTATTTAGCAGGTTTACTTTTAGCAGTATATCTTTATCACTTTGTATTATAATTACTCAGTTTTCTGTAAACTATTTGCTTTCATTCTTTCAATTTTTTTACTATAGTGCTAAAAACTGCTACACTTTCATTGCAGTGTCTACCTCTTGGTAACTCTAATATCTTTTTCAACTGCACCTGTAGATATATTTTTATTTCTTCAAATCCTGTGTCCTTTTCAGTAGTTAGAAGAGCACTCTGTTCTTTCTGAAGTTTCTTTTGGTATTTTCATTAATCCATTTAGATATTAATGTATAGTTGAACCTCATTTTTTAAGGAATGAATTTATTTTGAGCCTTTAACTTGCTGTTGGACTGCAATCATATTATCTGCCGCAGAAGTTTACATGTGCCATCTTTGTTATTGTTTACATTCCGCCTACAGTAAGCACAGAGGCAGCTTGTGATATTTTACACACAGTTACAGCCGGACTGCAAACGCAACACCCTAAAGCTTTCATGGCTATCTCAGGGGACTTGAATCACTTTAATCAGCATGATGGGCTGCGTTACAGACCTGGTATTGCTCTACCAGGGCAAATAAGACACTGGACTTACCATATGCCAATGTTAAAGAAGCCTATAGCTCCACTGCCCTCCTCCCCCTTGGCAGATCAGATCACAACCTTGTCCTGCTATCACCACTATAGAAGCCCATTGTCCAGCGCCAACCTGTGACCTTCAAGATTTCAAGGACCTGGTCTCAGGAAGCTATGGAGGATCTACGTGGTGCTCTGGATTCTACAGACTGGGATGTGGTGTGAGACCCGCATGGGGACGACATTGACAGCATGGTGGACTGTTACTGACCACATTAGCTTCTGTGTGGATAACACCGTTTCTGCCAAAGATGTATGCTGCTCTCCCAATAATAAACCTTGGATCACAAGTGACCTGAAGGCTCCTCTGAATGACAAGAAGTGAGCCTTTAGGAGGGGGGACAGGGAAGAGGTCAAGCTGGTACAAAGAGAACTAAAACGGAATTTAATGGAGAGTAAGGATGCCTATGGGAGGAGGGTAGAGGACAAACTACAAATGAATAGGATGAATAGGATGAGGGACGTATGGAGCGGTCTGAGAGAGCAGGCTTCAAGCAGACTGAGCAAGTAACAGAGGGGAACCTGGAGATGGCCAATAAACTGAACCTTTTCTTTAATTCTTTAATGTCTGATGCAGGGCTGTGGTTCACCACTTATTCCCCCACAGCCACTCACCTCTGAAGCTCTTGCAGTTGCGATTGCCCTACACCTCCTCCATTCCCCCACAACCATGGCCGCCTACAGCAATAACCCCCAGCAGCTATTCACAGCCCCCAGCCAGCCCCGATAACCAGCCCCCACAGCTGCCTGTCTCCAACACCTCCTCCATTAGCACCAGCACCACTGACAGTGCTATGAGCACCATCCCTCAGGCCAGGCT